AACTGCAGCACGCCAAGCTTCCCTGTCCTTCACCATTTCCCATAGTTTGCTCAGATTTATGTCCATTGGGTTGGTGATGCCGTCTAACCATCTCATCCTCTGCCACCTCAGGGTCTTTTCTAGTAGGTGTTAAGAGAGAGCAAAAGTTAATGTATATTTGCATAATGAAGAAAAAATTTTGTTCAGTAACAGGAATTAGTAAAATTTAATATATACTAATCCAGTTGGCAAGTATTATTATTTACTGTTCATATACTTTCTAAGCTAATATGTACTTCTTGAAGACCCTTAATAGTTGAACATCTTGGGAAATAAGGGCTTCAGGTACATTGACACTGGTTTATAAGCTGGTATTAACTAGATTTAGGGTGTATCAGTGGGGTACCTCTTGCCCCCAAAGAAGGCAGATATACTTAATAGGATCTGTTTTGTTATATTGGATTTATTTCATTTGTTCTACCAGCACAAGTTTTTAGTATCCCTTATGTGCCAGACACTATTCCAGGCAGACAAAAATCCCTTTCCCATGGTTTCAGCCCAGTGGGATATATTTATATGAATTATGATATAGAAGTAAAATCACCATAAATAAAATGATAATGTACTTAGCCATCTGGAGGTTTGGGAGGGCTTATGGCTTTTTATAAAAGGCATCAAAATAAAATGTGTTTGTAAACTGAGTGGATGACATCAGAGAACCAAGGAGTTCTATATAATAAAAAGGGTGTCATGTGAAAAGTTGAGTGTAGACAACATATTCATATTGAGAAGCAATTTGTTTTTATTATAACTTAGAAATGCTTATTGTAGGAAAACCCTAAGGAAACAAGTTTTTTGAATGATGTATTTTGATTTAACTATTCCCTTACTAGAATGATGAAACAAGGGATCATGTGGAAGTGTGTCCTGAGGCTGGTGTTGTTATTCAGGAACTTTCTGAACGCATTTCCCTAACTGGAGGTGCTGCCCTGATCGCGGATTATGGTCATGACGGGACGAAGACAGACACTTTCAGAGTATGTATAATTCAGTCACATGATTTATCAGAATTTAACTGGTACAGTTTACTTAGTTGTCATATGTTAGGGTTGAAGTTTATTGAAGATATTTATCTTATTTTGGTTTCTACAGTGTCTATCTTTGCTGCATTGCATTTTATAATTAATCTATGTTGTTATAATTACCCTTAACTCAGTATTTAACTGTCCACCTTTCCTTTGAATAGGGTCTAGATTGTTTACATTATTCCTTAAGTTGCAGAACCTAGGTTTGCATTGATTCTAGTAAACATCTGAATAATTCAAGTGGAAAGATTTTCTTAAAAGTTCTTAAAAATTTTTCCTCCCTTCAGTAAAAAAAAATGTTTAACTTTATTATTATTTTTTAGAGAAAAACCTGGAGAGTTTGTTTTAAACACTGTTTCTCTAGATTTACCTCCAGGATTCTGATTTGCTAGGCCTGGGAAGAGTCCAGTAATGTGTTCTCGGGTGATTACGATGCATATAGCTGATGGATACACTTTGTAAAACACCGTCTAGGTTCTGTTAACCTGAGTTCATCTGGAGAATTATCTCTTCATCACCATGAACATTAGTGAAAATTTTCAACAGATGTCAAAGGCAGCATGTTCAGGCACTATAGCATAGTACTTCATAGTGGATTTTCCACATAGTATCTTATTTGAAGAAAGGGTGCTATGTTGTAAGACTTTGTAAACCCTTGATAGGCCATATGTTCCTTTTTAACAGTTGTTATGTAAAGTGAACTACATGATAGCATTTCTTTAATCTTTATAATGATAACTATAAAAGTACAAAAACTCATCATTTAAAAATTACATTCAAGGGGTTTTGTGGCCACAGACTTCATGATGTCCTAACTGCCCCTGGAACAGCAGACCTAACAGCTGACGTGGACTTCAGTTACTTGTGTAGAATGTCCCAGGGGAAAGTAGCTTCCCTGGGTCCAATAGAACAGCAAGCTTTTTTAAGAAATATGGGCATTGATGTCCGGCTGAAGGTAATGATTGATCTTATTTCACTATTATTAACTAGTTTAATTTCATAGTATTTCAGTACATATTGAAAATAGTGAGTTCACTTGGGCTCGGTGCTCTTATAGTCAGATCCGTGGTCTGTGGTCTTCTCAGCAGTGTAGGGTTCAGACCACTTGAGGGTAGGGCAGATTGGTAAGTTTCATACATTTCTGTATGAGGTACATTTAAGACTTCCAAATAGTGTTAATGTTTGTTAAGGAAACTTAACTGCCTGTGTGGGTATGAATTTTAGAACTGTCTTAAAGACATCTTTACCCTCAGTGTACATCAAACCACCTGGGAATGTTTGTTAAACATACAAATCCATAGCTTTGGGTCACAGAAACCTATGTCTTTAATAAACAGGCCATGATTCTGAGGTAGAGGCTCAAATCACATTTTTAAGTGCTGTTTTATTGAATAGCTAAATAGTCATTGTATTACTACATATACCTAGGAATTGTTTCTTCTGGTTATTTTTACTAAGACATTTTTTCTTTTCAGATTCTTTTAGATAAAACAGATGAGCCATCATTAAGGCAGCAGTTACTTCAGGGGTATAATATGTTAATGAATCCTATGAAGATGGGAGAAAGATTTAACTTTCTTGCCTTGGTACCTCATCAGAGACTTCATGGTAGAAATCATCAGACGAATGCACGTCAGTCAAAACCCTCTCCATCACCTGTAGCTGGGTTTGGTGAACTTGCTTGGCGGTGATATTTCAGTTTGGACTTTTCACCCCCAAGTTGGCCTAAGAAACTAGAATAAAAGGAACATGTTTTATGTATCACAGGTAAAATTAGTTTTGAATATTTTATCTCTTCATAGCCAATAAAATTAAACCATACAGTACCACTGGAAGTTGATCTTTTAAGATTGTATTTGATTCTTGGTAGAAATGTGTGTTCTCAATTTAATGAAACAAATTATTGAGTATCCTCTAATTAATAAAGCTGGTTGTTATAGTTTTATTTTAAAGTGTAAATATGAATACTGGTTGATTTAATAACAACTGGAAACAACTGGCTATTCTCAGGGGGCTGATTAAATAGAACTGGTTGCTCCATGGCATGTGGAAATCTTCTGGACCAGGAATCAAACCCATGTCCCCTGCATTGGCAGGCAGATTCTTATCCACTGCACCACCAGGGAAGTCCTGAAGTGAAAGAAAAGTGAACGTTGTTCAGTTGTGTTTGACTTTGTGATCTCATGGACTGTATCCCTCCAGGCTTCTGTCCATGGAATTCTCCAGGCAGGAATACTGGAGTGGGTTTGCCTGTTCCCTTCTCCAGGGAATCTTCCCAACCCAGGGATTGAACCCAGGTCTCCTGCATTGCAGGCAGATTCTTTACTGTCTGTGCCACCAGGGAAGCCCAGGGAAGTCCGAGTATGATGTTAAATGGCCTTTATTATGTTGAGATAAGTTCCTTCTGTATCAGTTTTGTTGTTTTATCATGAATGACTATTGAATATTGTGAAATACTTTTTTCTGTCTGTTGAGATGACCGTGTTGATTTTAATCCTTTTATTAATGTTGATCACACTGAATGATTTGCAAATAATGAACTATCCTTGTGTCCCTGGAATACATCCCACTTGATCATGGTGTATAGTTAGATTCAGTTTGCTGCTTTATGCAGATTTTTGTGTCTTTATTCATCAAAGATACTGGCTTGTAATTTTCTTTTGTAGTCTTTATCTGGTTTTGGTACAAGGGAAATGGTGACCTTGTAGAGTCAATCTGGGAGTGTTCCATTCTCCTCAGTTACTGAAATAGTTTGAGAATAGGTATTAGCTTTTCTTTATATGTTTAGAATTCCTCTGTGAAGCCTGGAGTTTTGGTTTGCTGGACTTTTTATTAATTGCAAGTTCAATTTCACCACCAATGATTGGTCTGTTCAGATTGTCTTGATTCAGTCTTGGTGGGGTAAGTTTCTAAAAATTTGTGCATTTCTTCTAGGTTGTCTGATTTGTTGGCACATAACTATTCATGGTATTCTTTTTTTTTTTTTGGTATCTCTAGTATTTTTTCTCCTCTTTCACTTATTCTATTTGGGTCCTCTCTTCTCAATGAGCCTGGCTAAAGACCTATCAATTTTATCTTCAAAAACAAGTGCTTGGTTCATTGATGTTTTCTGTTGTTTTCTGGACTTTGTATTTCCTCTCTTATTCCCTTCCATATGCTAAGTTCGGGCCTTGTTCTTTTTCTAATTCCTTTAGATGTTAGATTAGGTTGTTTACTTGAAATTTTTCTTTTTTCTTGAGGTAGGCCTTATATTTGCTCTGAGCTCCCAATAATCACTATGAAATTTGCCAGTCTGGTTTGAGGGATAAGAGACTTTCTTTTTTAATTTTCCTCCTTTTTGGTATTTGAATTTTTTACAGTATGCTTCTGTGAATTTTATAATTAAAAACAAAATGAGATTAAAAAATTTTTAAAGTCATAGTACAACCAATCAACCTGACATGTACTTAAAATATGAATGAGAGTAAATGCAGACTACTTAGGAGGAATAATTTTCTAAAATTAGTTAATTCTCTCATTTTCAGATAACTGTCAAGATTTATTTCTGTAAGTTCCCATTCTTTTGGTTCACAGAAATTTTTATTAATAGCAGACGTGGACTTTCTGAAGAATTATATTAATAGCCACACAAATTTGAGAGGTTAAAAGAAAAGAATATTAGCTATATGTCTTCAATTTATAGCTTAACTATACTGGAAGTTCACTGGCAGAGTGTTGAATGAAAATGTCCATAGTTGGCCCTTCCCAATTATTTAATAGTTTTCATGATTAAGGGGAAAGAGTTAGCCAATGCTTCTTAAAACCTAGAAAAAGAGTAAATTAACTTACTTAAGTCTTTTGGCAGTTGCAATAGTTGAATATTTGATGGCAGTTTCTGAAAAACTTTTAATTATTCCAAACTTTCAAGAAATGAGACCTTGAGGTAATTACCTCAAATTTTGTATGAAATTGTAATAATGAGTTGTTTTTTATTTTAGTCAGATAAAAAAAAATCTGTGTTCTTAAATATAGCATTAGTTTCATTTACAAATACTATTTCCAAAACAGTTCTCTTACCAAAGCCTGGGAAAATAACACAACCAAATACAATTTTATTTGGATACCTCTACTAGCTCAGGTTTTCACATGGAAAAGTACAGTGATATGGAAATAAATTTTATTATCAAACTTCTTTGAGGATATTTACAAAAAGTGGGATATAATTAAAAATGTACTAAACAGTGTCATTATAGACTTTGTATACATTATCAAATGTTTCTAACAATTATTTCTTATACAAACATGATGACTTCAAGACAAAAAAGGTTATGTAGGTTATACAGTAACTGGAGAAAATTACTCAATTCCAAATTATCTGACAGTGCCTTTACAATTTTTTCTAAGAAAACTTCTCAATAACAAAAACAAAGAGTGCAATTAATTTTATGGCTTGTAAAGTTTTTATGTAAGTATAGCAAACAGCATTCCAGTTAATTTTTATCTTATGTAGTAAAACCACAATAGGGTACCTAGTGACTCAGAAATTACTTCATTTGAGCACACTGATTGTATAAACAGACTTAGAGAAACTAGGGGAAGTTACCCCCATCACAGGGAAAATACATTTCCCAAAGGTTCTGCATAATTAATTTGCTTTTAGTTTTTAAAATTCCTGTATGAGAATCAAATACTGAGAGACACTGTGGAATGTCTTCTGGGAATATCTAACGGTAGGCAGTATAGCAGAATGGTTAGCAGTAAGGACGACTCTGTGGAGACACACTGCCTGGATTCAAACCCACATCCTAACTGTGTGACCTTAAGGCAGCTAGTTAATTTTCCTGTGCCTCATTGTCCTTATCTGTGAGACAAAGTTTGTAATGACTTACCTATGTCTACTGTGAGGGAAAAACATGTAAAGAGCTCAGAACAGAGGAGCACTGGTGTTTGCTTTCATTCTCTCAGGGGTGTTTTTAGCCCTACACAAGGGAATAGCTTCAGGGATCTCTGAAGGCCCTCTCATTCTGTTCACAAGAACATTCTTTTCTTCTGCTATCTCAGATTCCATGGGCAATGATACTTAACGCTTTTATAACTTTTAGCTTATAAATATCTGATCTTCACAACAACATCGAGGAAGACAGAAGCAAGAATTATAATCTTTATCTTACAGATTGAGGAGCTCAAAGCTCAGTCAGGTTGTTACCTGCCAAGGTCAACATAGTTAAAGAGCAGAGCCAGATTTTTGGGGCTCCACATCTTTTTTTCTTTTTGGAGGGGAAAAAACATTTACAGTGATTATTTAGGAATCAAGAAACACAAAGCCCCTAGATTTTTTAGAAGTGGACCTAGATCTTTAACTTTTTGGGGGAAACTATTAGTAACTTTTAAAAGCTATGAAAAAGTCTAACCTCTTAAATATGATGTTAGGGTACAAAAACTGTCTCTAGCTGGCTGCTGGAGCTGCAGTGTTTTTAAAAATACTTATTTCATTCTTTCATTTGCTCAGCTGATAATACAGCCCTACTCTTTATAAATTGTTTCATGCTCCACCCCACCCACTCCCCTAAACTGCTTAAAATAATTGATTTAAAAACATTCCAGATATCTGTAAAGCCTTCTACTAAGCTAAGGGAAGAAAAAAAGAATATTGTTATTCTTTCCTGTAGCATTAACTGACCCTGCATTATCCCTACTTTTGGCGTGTATTTAATTTTATTCCTCAAATTATACAGTCCCATGTAAAGAGAAATTGTGTGATTAGAGTTCAGATCTGTACCCATTAAATGTTGGAATCTAATTGTGGCATCACAACAGCATCAATGGGAATGTATGCAGCAGAGTTGAACTATAGGAAGATGTATGTAACAACTCAGCACTTGGACCAGCAGTTCCTACTCCTGGTTTTGTGTATCAGTTGTCCCAAATAATCTTAGGGACTGTTGAGACATACAAACAAAAGGTGACAACTTTTCATGTTCTAAAGAGCATATTCAGAATTTCAACCCCAAAGAAGTTAGAGTGATACTATTGTTTTGCAGTTTAACTGACCTAAAAGAGAAGGGTAAACACATTCAGCACTCCCTTTCCTGGCATCTAGGAAAAACCCCTCAGTGCCTCTGTGGTCAGTTAAACAAATTTTTAAAGAATATAGGAAATGGCATGTTGGTAGCCTCTCAGTTATCTCATAAATGCAAATCTGTTTAGTTATAAACTGTGTAACTCTTGGATGATTTGATCAAGCTATTTAACTCTTGTATGATTTGATCAAGCTATTCAATAACTGGACTCTAGCTTGCCTTTTTTCTCCTTTAAAAAAAAAAATAATGTAAGAACAGGAAAGGGAAGATAAATTAAGTGCTACTATTGTACTAAAATGAACGGTAAGGAAAAAATACAAAAACCAGTTATTGCTTATGTTGTAGAAGTTTATGAAAAGCTTCGTCTTGGATTCCATTATGTGTTTTTATGACTCAGTTTACCCTCTTGTACCTCCTCAGTATGAACTACAGTATTGGTGTCACTGATTCCTTATGTTTTCCATATCTTTGCATCCTTTCAGATGACAGCATACAAAGAACAACAGTTACGCAGCAAAATGCCAGTCCATAACATGAAATGCTTCCTTATTGAAGTTAGCTCATTGGTAACTAAGGATCTTCTTCCATGTCATCTGGATTGGGAGCCATAATGAAGTGCTTTGGGTATACAAGGTTGTGTGTGTATGCATGTATTTCCCATCGGGCATCGTCACTTTCATGTGTAATGTAACGTTCACCAATGCGAGTTTCAAATTCTCTAAGGTCAAGCCAAGTCTGATAGTCCTAGGGGGAAAAAAATGAAGATTATGAACAGTAAAAAAAACAAAACACTGTTAACTTGGTTTTTTTTGCTTGGCACCCTAGTTGCGTAATTGACAACCCCTACCCCCTGCTGCCACTGCTGCTAAGTCACTTTAGTCGTGTCCGACTCTGTGCGACCCCATAGACGGCAGCCCACCAGGCTCCCCTGTCCCTGGGATTCTCCAGGCAAGAACACTGGAGTGGGTTGCCATTTCAAATATTAGCTATACAATAAGTTCCATTTGTAATACTTTAGGTTAGCAACGTCAAAGATACTTTTTCAGATTTAGTCTCTCTCATGAAGGAAGTAACTCTTCCAAAATTAAAATAAAAAACTGCCTCAGCCCTCTGAAGTGGTTAATAGTAACTATTAATCTGATTACACCTTACTCCTCAAAATGGGAAGCGTGCTTAGACTCTTGTCAGGATAATTTAATAGCTGCTGAGATTAATTATGATTACATTTGTTCTAAAGTTACTTATACCCCTCATTCCCTTTACAGTAATTGTTCTAAAGCTTCTCTCTAGTCTGAAGTTTGGGGGTATCTTTTGATAAATCTATGCAATGGCTTTTAGGGGAATAAAACCAAACATTTAAAATGGCATATCTGATCTTTTCAATATAAAATATAAGCCTTTTGGTGGACATTTTAAAAATAAAATATATTTGACAATATAATGTGTTATGCTCACCTTACAAAAAGGTGAAATAACCACCATAAGACCCTAAGACATGTAGAATCTGATGATCTTTTAAGAGTGGTTTCATTAAGTAAGACAAATCACCATGAACTGCTCAAATGAAGATTGCCAAATTGTTTTTACCTGCAGCCAGGGATGACTAAGAGATTTGTCTACGCTGTAACGTTTTCTCATCTTCACTTGAAGTAGGTTGTTTATCAAATCAATTGCTAAGGGAAAAGACAAAATTAGATATGTGAATCTGAGCACTCAGTACCCCAAACCTGTGACTCTGCCTGGAAGGCAGTTCAATCCATAGAAATATAGGGTTGAGGAGTTTTGCTTCTCAAGGACACAGCCTTTAAGCTAACATATTAGTGACTGATAAATATTTATTGAATTCAGTGTACCTGGTTTATTAAGGAGATAGTACAGAATACAAGTTAAAAGTATAGACTGGAGCCCGCCTGCTTAAGCCGAAGATGTTACTGTGTGTGACGTGGGGGTCAGTTACTAAACTGCACTGTGCCTCAGTTTCCTCATCTGTAAAATGAGGTTGTTGAGAAGATGAAATAAACTTAATACACACAAAGGACTCAGAATGATGCTTTTATGTACTAAGAATTAACCATTACTTTTAAAAATGAGTAAAACAGACTCTCTTTACAGTCTTACATTTTTGTTGTTTTTCCCCTCCGAAATGATGCTATGCTATTCTCTAGTCTTGGGCTTGGTCTGGAAAATAGCCAAAGCCATTGCCTTGCTCCTGTAGATGAAGTTATAGTGAGGTAATAACTTCTTACCAAAAGTTCATACTTAACAGGTTTTAACAAATAAGTTCATGGTATTTTGGTGTATGTGGTGAGATCTTAGCATGCATATTTTATCCAATTATTTGGAGAAGTGGGCTAACTATAAAACCAAAGCAACCATGTTACTACACACTGACAATATCCTTATATAACAAGGCAATTGTTACTCAGGTCTGCATCCAGGGATGAGCCAAACTAATGACTTATCCTGTACTATTTCTAGTTCTATATACCGTCATACCAGTCAAAATTTTCCAGATTTTTTTCACCCTGTTTATTCCCCCCAAAGTATTTTAAGTACTAGTTTCTCTATATTCTAAATACTTGGAATTTTTATCCATTGTTCCTTAAATGGCAGTCTGCTATGTGCATCAGGATCATTCAGTGTGTTTACTAAAATGCATTCCTGAGTAGCAATACAGCTGGTGAGTCTGAGTCTCAAGGATGGAGCCAGAAGGTCTTTTTAATAACCTCACCAAGTGATTCTGATGTAAGAGGTCTACAGACCACACTGTCCAAGGGGGCTCTAAGGTGACTTTGGCAACATCCCCAAACCCTCATATATGCTTCTTCCATCAGATTTCTTCATTAACAAGTAAGCCTACTATTTACATGTTGTCCCTCAAACTTTTCCCAGTTTTATTAATCCCTATGATTAGGTCTCATACTTGGCAGAATTTTAAAAAATGTTTTAAGTGGTGTATAAAGAACCTAATCTGAAGATAAGAAAAGTGACTGTGAAAAGATAAATTACTTCAGGAAAAATACACCCAACCAGTAGCCTAAGTAGGTCATACAGTTTGGAGGAGTTCAGGGAAGACTTCACAGATGAGCCACAAGATCAGGGATCTCTGAAGGGCTGGAAGGATTTGACAGCAAGGAGGAGAGTAGGCAGGGGAAAGGTCTAAAGCAAAATGCAGCAAACAGCTGAAAGTAGCTTGTGTAGGGCAGTAGTAGCAGATGAGACCAGAAGGTAAGAACTTGGGCAGCATCACAGAGGCCTACAGATGCAGCCTGGTTACAGGGAGGCTGAGGTGTCTGGGAGCACAGTAAGATGAAAGTAGCATTTCTAGAAGATGGACTTGGCAGTGGTGACTGGGGAGCACAATTAAAAAGCTGTTTCAGTAGTTTCAAAATGAGACAGTTGGGACCTGGATTAGCGCCCTGCCTGGAAACTATTAGGAAGATAAAGAAACCATATATCCATATATAAAAGGAAGTATTCTTCAAACAATGGTAAATAGCTGAATTTGGAAGGTGAATGGGAAATATTAAAAAGAGATGTCAAAAGAAATGGGGTGATCTGGAATCACGAAAGTTTTTAAACAGGCACAGACCTAAAATTTAAATTTTCTTTTTTACCTTCACCAGAAATTTCTCTCCATGGATTTGGTGGGTACATAAATGCAGCATTCTGGATTTGGTCATTTATATCTTCATCTTCATTGAAAGGAAATGTGCCACTGAGGCTCACATAGACGATAACTCCCACCGACCACATGTCTAGAGAGCGGTTGTAGCCTTTGCTCCGGAGCACCTCAGGGGCCAAGTACGCCGGCGTCCCTACCACCGACCTCCTGAACGACTTCTCGCCAATGATGCGCGCGAAGCCGAAGTCGCACAGCTTCACCTGGACATGGAGATCGCTAACTTCATATTACTGACATACAGACAAAAAGTGCCGGTTATTTACACATACCTATCCCTAAACACGACATGGAGTCATTTAAACACATTTGCCACCTGTACTGATTATGGATGTTAAAAGATGATGCATATAGAAATTGTAAAATACCCTTTTCCCAAAAGGAAGATTTATAACCCTGTGCTCCTTACTAACAGTATGAAGAACTTTGCAAAGTGCTCATTTCAAACAATCACTTTTGAAGTCTAACTTCCTTCCAGAATGCCACATACCAGACTGGTGTTATGAGTGCTCATCATTTTTGATGAAATGGAGGGTACTGATCTTCTATCATTTGGCTTTTAAGGAGGTCCCTTTCTATCATCTGTAAACAGGAATTGTTTCATTTTGAAATCCTCAGTGGCCTCATGGTGCCTGTATAAAGGTACTCAAGTGTTTGTTGAATGAAAAATGTTATGATATTTAAAAACTTACCCTTTTTTTTTACTTAATCCTAGAATCTCTCTTCCCAAGGTCACTATATATTGGCAAGTATATACACACCAGTTCAGGTGTGTTAAAAGATAACTATTAATGTGGCCAGTAAAAGAGTAATAATAAAGATTGTGTGAAAGAATTAAGAGTAGCTTTTCTGTGACTATGAAACAAAATATTGCTAGTTAGATGTTTAGATTTGAAAAGAGTTATGTCTGAGGGTAGCCATAGTCACTACCATGCTCTTTTGGGAAGAAAGTTCTGGAAATGTAATGAGCTTGCTGTCTATCCTCTAGCAGAGGTTCAAATTCTGGTGATTAAGGATACATCCATGCTGAGTAGCAAATGCCAAGTACTTCCCTGAGGGAAATGCCCAGATTGACAACATATCTTCACTAAAAACGTTAGGATGAATTGAGAGATGAGGGATTTGGCCTCCACAAACCAGTGATACACATGATGACTGGAAAGCAAAGATGGATCTTCATACATGTTTTTATGATGTTTGTTTTGTATCATTACTGAATTTGGCTACTTTCTCTGAATATTTGAAGAAGAGGATTATCAACCATGAAGAAATGTGAACTCTCTTTTGCACCTCATTAAATGCCATATTTCAGCTAACATTTTGATAAAGATGACTTGGCAGTTTGGCAACTGAAAAAAAGAGTGGCCATGGCTAGCATTTGATTTAAAAAAAAAGGTATCAAATAAATGACATTATTTTTCCTTTGATCCTAATGGAGGTCAGAAGGTGTGAGTTTTAACCTTAGCTGGAAGGGTGTGCATCCTTTGCCCATACTCTTTTGAAGATCAAATTAAATAATATATGGAAGCACTTTATTTAAAATATAGCATCAGTGCTCACGGCACCTTTTTGACCTCATAAAGACAGGGGATTACTTTTATTTTCATATGCATTCTAAGAGGAATATGATTACTTCCTTAAATGTAAAAGAGTTGAATAATTTTTGAAAATATATCTTTTTCTTTGAAAGACAATCTGAGTTATATTTACCAACTGAATAAGTCATCTGTTGCCCTTACTCTAGCCTCTTGTCTAATTGTTTTTCAAATAAGTGCACATAAACAATAACTTGGAAATAAATTATTCTAGTTGAAGACAGTCATGAGAAACATTCATAGGCACCACTAATGTATAGTCCTTAGGATAAATGATTCAGACTTTGGGTTAAGAACCATTTTTAGGTTATGACATAAATCTGAATCAAGATGAACACGTTTTAATGAAATAAAATTTAACCAAGTAAAAAACAAAATGAGTGCATCACATGCAGGAGACACATTATCATCATACGTATGGGAGCTCTGGTGGTGATGGGAAATGTAATTCTTCCACGGGTCTTGCTGAGAATATTTGAAATACAGTACTCTAAAGAGGAAGAGTTCGCTGCCTGCCTCACCCAAAATCTCGTCTTCCCATTTCAGGGTTATCCCTCAGCTTATTTCATAGGGAATTTGTCCTGAAGACCAAGCACCAACCAAGGCTGCCCCTTCCTACTTCATTCCCAAACCACAGGGGAGTGGTGAATTGTGCACAAATTACAAAAAATTATGAGAACTGGTCTAAAAAGTCATTAGGTGTAAAAAGTCTTCATGAAAACAAACAATATATCAATAATTAGTAAAATGTGAATTCAAATTATTCAGGTATAAATCCTCCCCAGTAGTTACATGCTAAAACCTTTATTTCTGTAGATAGTTATGAATTTAATCTACAGCACTGCCTTTCATTACACGTGTGTTTCATAGTTCTGTCACAGATACTTAAAAACCATACTTTAAAAAGGTTCTGGAGAATATCTCACCTGAGGAAATGGCTCTGCTGATGCAAGCAGCACATTTTCTGGCTTTAAATCACAGTGCACAATATTCTTAAAATGTAGATTCCTCAAAGCAACAAGTATCTGTTATTGAAGAAAACAGAATTGTTTTCTGTTCCTGGAAAAGTCACAGCTAAATCCTAATTGGACCCCCCAAATGGTAAAATAATTTGAAAAGTCCATTACAGTTCATCAAGATTTAACTGAAGTGTTATTGTCTTCTTCAAAGTAACAATACCCACAATATCCTGATATGTGAAAAGCACTAGTATTTCTCATAGTCCTTAATTTTTCTAGTTTCCAAAAAAAAAAAAAGTTTTTAAAAATACCTGTGTGACCATGAATTTAGTTATTCGTTCTGGAAGACGACTTTTCTCGCTAGATAAAATCATTTCCAGCATATCTCCATGTAGCTTTTCCATCACTACAAAGACTCGTTCCGGGGTTTCGAACATACATTCCAGGTTTACAATCCCAGGATGGTGCAAATTCTGAGGAGTTGCAGGACATTATGTGACCAACTTGAGTAAAGTTTTACTATGCAAATGCAAATATCTAACAATGTGCTGCAATTAACTGTATGGAATAATGGCACAAAAGATAGCTCAGAAAAATAAAAGCAAACAAAAAGGATCACAGAGTTTGATTTTCAAAGTTCTGTACTAAAGAGAAGATGCACGGGAAGGGGAAGAATGTCTTCCCTTGTCCGTTACTGCTTCTTTTCCTTTCTTCTCATCTTTTTAATCTTCTGATGGTACTCTAACTTATCCTATCCACAAATAGGCACCAACTGCCAATAAAAGTTTTAGCCAATTACACAGAGCTTTGGTTCTTCAGGGCTGTTTGCAAAGGTCTTAGCTCAACAGGTAGCTCTGTCTTTAATGCAGTTATTTATCTAAGTCCTGATCTTGTATTGTATCTTGATTTGGTCTTCCCTCTTTCAGGTTCAGCATCTCTACCACCATCACCGCGTTTTTCTTAAGCACTACTAGGCTCACAGGTTGGGGCTTCCCTGATAGCTCAGTTGGTAAACAATCTGCCTGCAATGCAGGAGATGCCGGTTTGATTTCTGGGTCGGGAAGATCTGCTGGAGAAGGGATAGGCTACCTACTCCAGTATTCTTGGGCTTCCCTTGTGGCTCAGCTCATAAAGAATTCACCCGCAATGCGGGAGACATGGGTTGGGACCCTGGGTTGGGAAGAACCCCTGGAGAAGGGAAAGGCTACCCACTCCAGTATTCTGGCCTGGAGAATTCCATGGACTGTATAGTCCACGGGGTCACAAAGAGTTGGACATGACAGTGACTTTCACTTTCAGGCTCACAGGTTGGAAAAATACAAAGCTGAATGTGATACTGTTGGGGACGAAGAAAAAAAGCAAACTATCTTACTGGTATAAAAAACAAACAAACAAACAAAACTTCCTCAAAAGCAAATTTGAGAAGCCAGCCATACTCAAAAACATTGAATGGTTCTTTATTTCAGGACATAAATCTAAATTTCTGGATGAATTTTAATATCTTCAATAACCTGGTTTCATTTTTCTTATTCAAACTTAAATATGCTCTTAAATACTGGCACAAGTGATTAAATGTTTTAATCCTTATTAACAGAAATAGTTTTTTCTTATGCTTTTCTTCTCACACTATGGATATCTAATTATGCCAAGAGGGCAAACTTTTTTCCAGCCTGTGCGAAGTTGGGCTTCATGTCTAGAATGTGTTTTGAACCCACCATCACTCTCAGTTTCCACTGTAATGCCTTGTTTTCGCTCACACCACCTCCTTTTGGACTGCAGCAGCTGCCCCTGCACTGTCCATGCAGCAGTGCTTATCCCCCGGTACCATATCACATGTACACGTGTCTTACTCTATACTACACTACTGACAGCAGGGACCATGTCTTAGTCATTTTTAGCTTAACTTCTGAATCATGGTTGGTGTTTTAAAAGTGTTTAGAAAATGCACAGCAAGCACAAAATAAATACTGTTTATAATCAGCTTAAAACAATTTAATGGTGGTGTTCCAGGTGGCAAAATAAAAAGTGATACAATCTTATAGTAGATATAAAGTGAAATACCCCAGTGGTGGGGCGTGATAATGGCAGTAAGCAGAAGATTCAAATCGTCCTAACTCTGATCAACTTAAGAGCTCTAAGTGTGGCTGGCTGTCCCCTATACACTGTAGCCAGATTACCACTCAAGTTTCTCACCCCCAACCCCTGCCATCCTTGAGAACATATGCATGGACACACAAAAACAGAAGTATGCTGTAACATAATTTTTATTAACAACTTCTATTTGTTTAATGTCCTATTTCCTCTGGAGTCTGTTTTGGTAAATTATAGTTTCATAGAGAATTAATCATTTTCTCCAGGCTTTCAAGTTTATCTAATAGAGCTGCACAAAATAGTATCTTATTGAGTGAAAGTCGCTCAGTCATGTCCCAATCTTTGTGACCCCATGGACTATACAGTCCATGGAATTCTCCAGGCCAGAATACTGGAGTGGGTAGCTTTTCCTTTCTCCAGGGGATCTTCCCAACCCAGGGATTGAACCCATGTCTCCTGCACTGCAGGCGGATTCTTTACCAGCTGAGCCACCAAGATAGTATCTTAAGATTCCCTTAATTTTTTTCAGTATTCGTGATCATCCTCCCAAAATGTTTTTGTATTTTCTTATATTTTGATTCAGTTGGACACTTATTTTGTTGTTATTCCACCCACATCGCTAACCAGCTTTTGGATTTATTGTCCTACATTTATTAACTTCGAGTTTTATCTTTGTTAATTCTGTTTTCTTCAGGTTGACTGTTCATCCTTTAACTTGAGTTGCACTCAATTCATTTATTTTCATTACTTCCTCATTAAGTATTAGACATTTCTATGAGTAGTTTAAAAGCTCTGATAAACAGTATTTTCACAATTATTTTCTAAATACTTGGGTCATGATTTTGCTCTCTGATTCAAGAATTAAGACTTTAAAAAGTTTTTTTCAGGTGGTGGGAGATTTTTTTCCCCCAATTTTATAATTTCCTTGCAGTTTTAGTACATTAAGATGAAAAACTTTTTCTTTTTTTAGCTAATAAACTATTTATTTATTTGTAGGTACAGACTTCAATATAAACTGGTTAGATCTACCTTATAATGTCTAGGCCTCTTCTGTTCTTATTAGCTTTGTCTACTTCATCTGTCATGGACAACTATGTATTTGTCTGTTTTTCCCTGTATGGTCACTAGTTTTCCTTTAAAGTTATTGACGTCATTTGGTTTAGCGTGATTTGCACTCTTCCATTGAGAGTGCCCTTCCTAATTCACTTCATGTTTTCTATTGAATTAAATCTTACTAGATCATGATGTCCTGTCACTTTCTTCTATCTGAGAGAAACCCAGAGAGGCTATCATGACTGTAGACCTCAGAAAGAGCCAGCAAAACGAGCTTTTGTTGTGGTGCCTCTTCCTACATTTGCCCAGTCCATCTCCACTGTTTATGGAAAAATGTCTACCTATTTTGTACATCTGAACTCTCTTCTATCTATATTAGAGTATGCTTTTCTGTTTACCATTTTTCTTGTAGCTTCTGGGTGATTTCCAAGAAGAGAAGGGGAAAACACTGAATTTTCCATTTATATAGTGAGCCAGGAGAGCACTTCATCTTTTCTCCCACTACTCTACTACCCTCTTCAGGCAATAACAAAAGATTTTACATTATTTCATCCTTTTGAAATGAAAGTAACAAAATCCCCCATACTACAATTATTTAATTCTGTTCCCAGTCAGGCAATATCAATGAAAAGAACCAGAGTGATTAAGTGTTTACATTGTATATTACCTGAACATTCCTAAATTTAGTTATTAACATCTCCAGTTGGTAACATGGGAAAAATAAGCCTCAGTATTTAGTTCAGAGCTGTATTTGTGATCAAAGTTACAAGGAGAACTTATATCTGGAATCTGAAGTTTGACACAAATGAACATTTCTATGAAACAGACGCAGACTCACAGAAATAAAGAACAGACTGGGGGAAAGGGGTGGGGGAAGGACGGATTAGGAGTTTGGGATGGCAGATGCAAACTAGTACACATAGGAAGGATAAACATCAAGGTCCTACTGTACAGCACAGGGAACTATATTCAATATCCTGTGATAAACCATAATGGAGAAGAATGTATCTATATGTATAAACGAGTCACTCTGTTGTATAGAAGAAATTAACACAACATTGTAAATTAGCTACAATAAAATTTTTAAAAGTGACAAGGAGAAATCAAGTCTTATGAATAAATCCTTAATATTTATTTTTTTGCATATAAACTGGATATTGAGAAAGAGTCCAAAATTAGATATGAAAAAAGATCTCTAACAATATTTTCAAACCCTAATGCAGAGTCTGAATGCTATATTCAGACTATTTTAAAGGTAGCTTCATAGGATGAGGCAGCCTTGAAGTGACCACATGGAGCTTGTAGACCACCATCTTTTGATCATCTGGGAAAAAGTGAGGCAGATGTTACTCATAGTGATCAGTAATGTAATAAATGTAAAATTAATTACATGTTTACAAATTTCTTACCTTCTCCAAAGAAGCACTAAGTTCAACAGGCTGTGTCTTCTTGAACTTCACCCACAAGCAAATAGGGCTCTGACAGCATTAACTATTACATTTTCTTAAATACCATGCAAAAGCTACACAATGAATCAATAAACATTTGCATATTATAAATTAAATGTATTCAGAAAAATAAAGCTAACTTTTAATTTTCTAGATGACTTCCAAAAGAGATAAACATGTTACATGAGAATAAAAACTCACAGTAATTTATTTTATGGAATTTAACTCACTGCCAATATATCTTTAAAAGTATACCTCGATGGACTGAACAGGTAAAATGAAATGCAGTGGCAGAAGTATCAAAGTGTTTTTAGTTCATGGAGTGATGAGTTAAGAATGAAATTTGAGCTTTTTTTAATTTAAGACTTTACTTATGAAAATGTGTTCCAAACAACCTACTACCATAATGTCAATCCTTTTGACTCCTAGATTACTGTAACCTAATTTTTGCCTTTTTTAAAAAAAGGGGAAGTTAATTAAGAAGCTCACCGGCCTCTCACTGAGCCAAAATGTTATAAAATGCAAACAAAGAAAAGAAAAACCAAATCTTACCAGTTCACTAGACAGACTTGGATTTAAAAACTCATAAATCAAAAATTAAAACCAATACAAAGCAACTTTTTACCTGTAAAATAGCCACTTCATTACGGAGCTGACTTTCCTGTTTTGTGGGGAATCTCATCTTATCAATTACTTTAATAGCCACATCCCTTCCAGTCTTTCTGTGTTTTCCTATTTTTCAAAAAAGTACAGGTAAGAAAGAAGATGCAAATTAATGTCACATACAATACAGAAGTTTCATTAGGAAGCTGTCGACAAACTGAAATTGGTATGTATTTACTTTTTTTTTTTTTGTATTTTTTCTTTTCTATTTTTTAGGGGGCAGGCTCATTTTGTTCTTTCTCCATTACTCACCTATAATTACGATAATTTTCCCTTATAGTAACTGCCTCTAATAAAGGCTGTTTTATTATTTGAAATAGTAGGAAATTTGAATGAACTTGTCTGCTGAAAAATAATCCACCTTATTAAATAAATGAAAGTTAACTATGTGACTTAGTCTTCAGAAATTCTGTCAAGATAGAAACACTGTACCATGGAATTCATTTTATTCTAAGTTCTTTGGATCAGCAGAGTGATTTAACTATGTATTAGGGCAAATCTTCAAGTAGAAAAGCCAACTAGTAGTGGTAAGGAATGCAAAGGATTCACATTACTTTTCTACCTTGCATCATAGCTTGTAAAGTAGCTTTACATATATTAATGAATATACAGGCCAGGTTGTATTAGCCCCATTAAACTGATGAAGATACTGAGGCACAGCGAGGTTAAAAGGCTTCGGCAATGTAAGTCAGAGAGCAAGATAAGATTTCAGGTGTTCAGACCTGATACACCATTTGTGCCAACCACAGACAAATGGGCAACTGTGTGGGAAAACCAGTGGGGCACATACTTCAATAAATGAACTCTCAGAGTCCAACATAAACTTCAAACCACACAAACATCTTTTTGTGTAAGCTACAAGAAAAGATGAAAACTACTGTGAATTTTCTGATTCTCTGTTTCTTTTTAAAAAGTTTTCAATTTAAATTAAGAAATTAATACTAAGTTATAGTGAAAAGGGCTTATCTAAAACTATGCAGATTAATCTCTGAGGAAGAAACCACTTGAAAAACTGTGACAAGATGCTAACAACTGGTAGATGGTTTTTAAATTTCCTAATTTTCTATATTATCTACAACATGCAAAAGGCTGCAACTGCTTACCTCCATAGACAATACCAAACTGGCCTGAACCAAGCACCTCATCTGCAAAGATTTGGTAAACGGTACTGATGTCCTATTTGGGAAAGAGTAAGTGTTATTAGTTCCATGAAACCATGTCAATATCTCTGATTCTTTTCATTCAAATACTTAAATACATTTCAGTTTTTATGGTTGAGGGATTTCTTTTTCATAAAATACTTTATGAAATACAGGCATTCTCTGTCCTAAAAAAGACCAACTTTACTGTGACTCTTAATGTACAACTATAATGTATTCTGTAAGAAGACCACTGGGGGAAAAATGATTTAATTAAAAAATATATTTATTAAGTAGTGATCTATAAAAAATTAACATAAAAAACTAAGAAGAAAGTTTTACCACCTTTACTATTAAAGAGATTTGCTATCTTTGACTTGAAAGAAAAACTCAAAGTTTTGTATTATTGAGATTAGACTTATTTTGAAAGACAGATGAAAAGAGTATGTGTAACTCATATCCTCTCCTCAATCTTCTTCCTTCCCTTTCCTATTTTTGTTACATTAGTGGTTGTTGCTGTCAGAATATTCTTACAAAGCATTCTCCAATCCTTTCCACAGATCCTCGGTCAAGGTTTCATCTGGGTACGTGCTACAGTCTCCATGAAGCCAGGGACTACACCTATTTTGTTCAATGTTACATTCCCAGACAGTGCCTTCTCATGGTAGTCACTGGATTGAGTAAACCAACTTTATTCAAGGTCTCATTCCCTCATTAGTAAAGCAGATATAATAACATCTATCTTACTGGATTTTTAAGTGAATTAAATGAAGATATACAAAGTGTCAAGTCTAGTGCCTAGCATATAAAAATCAGTACTTCTACAAACCCTAATTTCCATTTAAATTAGGTAATCTTAAATAAGCTGAATTTCCTGGGACTTGGTCTTTTCATCTGTAAAAGTGAAATGAGAAAACTTCTTTCTCTCTCCAATAATCTGGTTCCTATGCTACCTACCAACCCACTCCAATATTCTTGCCTGGAGAGTTCCATGGACAGAGAAGCCTGGTAGGCTACTGTCCATAGGGTCGGACATGACTGAAGCGACTACACATCCACACATGCTACCCGGACAAGAGACACACAGATCAAATCTCCTTGAAACCCTCTAGCTCCCAAACACTACTGGATGTCCAGTTTCTACTACAGTCTTAGAAAACCCCACATTTATATGTTACTTAATAGTAACAGCTGGATGCCCCAAGCTGAACAGTAGGAGAGATGTGAATCAAATAAATTTATATATAACTTTTGGACTTCTTTTTCTAGCCTTTTTTCTAACTAATCCAGGAGCTGGCAAACTAGGCTTGTGGGCCAAATCCAGCCTGTTGCCTCTTTCTGTATGGCTCCTGAACTAAGAACAGTTTACCTTTCTAAATGGTTGGAAAAAATCAAAATGATGTCATCTTCTGAAACATGAAATTATATGAAATTCAAATATAAGTGTTCACAAGAAAACTTATACTGGAAAACAGTCTAACTCATTCCTTTATGTACTGCCTATGGCCTTCTCACAATGGCAGCAGAGTTGAGTTCATAAATGTACATGGTCTTCAAAGCCTAAAATATTTACTTCCATCCCCTTACAGAAAGTATGCTGACCCCTACATGTACCAGCTAAACTGAGTCCTCACTCTGCCTTAAAATCCTGTATTTTCTGCTTCTCTGTACTTTCATGAAATGTTCTCTCACCACCATCCTCTCAGCAGTCGTGTCAAAACTCTTTTTAAGTATATTTCAAGTTTCACTTCCTTTAAGAAGTTTTCCCTGCTCTGAGCCAGAAAGTAGCCTCTTTCTTCTCTTTGAACTAGTCTATCACTCTGTAATATTCTAATGTCACTTATGAAAAAGTTAACTTTATTTTCATAATTTAAAAGGAAACTGCCTCAGTTTCCTTCATAAAGCAGAACTCCTCCAGGAAGTTATCACCCACACAGTTCAGTCTGGTGTCTTCAGGCAAACTGCACAGTGCTCTGGGTTATAAACTTATTTTCTAGTAAGAGTTTCACATTTTATTTTCCTTAATTACCCAATCTGTATATTTTAGCTGTAATATTTACTTACCACATTCTCTTGGATCTGACAATTAGATACAGAGATACTGGTAGACAAATCTTCTGTAAAACGGATGATATATGGGGAAAAAAACTGTTAGTATATAACTTAGTAATACTAATATTTACTGACATGTGAAAGCTTACAGTACATTAAATTTTAAAAACTAGCTAACATACAGTTAATATCATTACATTAAAACAAAATTTATCCATAAACAATACTAATCCAGCAACAGGAAACTGGTAAAATAGAATATACACCCATACAAAAGAATACTGTCTACACATTTAAGGATGTAGGGCTGTAAGTACTGAGTCAGAAAGCTGTTTATATTATTAAGTTAAAAAGGTAAGTTTCAAGGTAGTGGCATATGAATCAAAACAAACAAAATATGATCACTTCTGGTGAATGAGAGAGATGGGGTTGAGGAACAAAGATTTTTTTTATATGCTTCTAGACTGTTTAAAAAATGTGTAGAAAGTATGCATTATTGTCATAAAACATTAAAATTATATAAACCTATATAATTTTGAAATATATCTGATATATATTAAATAGTTCACAAAATGAAGTTGTAAAAAGATCATACATCTTTTACAACAAAAATGACTTTTTTTGTGAAAATAAAAATGTAACAAGACCGTACAAATAGAATAGATTCCCCTCTTCCCAAGCCATCCCCAAATCAAGAAATATACACCAAACTATTAATAATGGTTTTCTGAGGAGGGAGATATACAATTGGGAATAGGGGGACATGTCACATGTATAGGGAAGAGTTTATCATATTACATATTTCTATAAAGTTTAAATGTCTGTATGACTTAGGTAAGCAAAGGAAGTAACTGACAAGAAAAATGGGAAATTAGGAAAGCAAAGCAAGAGACTAGTTCTCAAACATTTAGAATCTCAGTGATAACTCAAAGAAAAAGATATGAAATTTCTTTTATAATCCCAAATATAAGAACATAAAACTTCATTAAGAAGAAAATATAAGCAACTATACATCAAAAAATAAGTAAATGACTGTGGAAACTCCATTTTAAAGTATTAAGTCAATTTTAAACTACTTTAAATAACCCAAAAAATCAAGTATTAATGCGACAGAGCAAAAAAGCACAGCATCAACAAAATGAATGAGCCTAGACTCTGCTTTGCAGTAGTTCCAGTTTCCTAGTTTAAGTCAATATTTATTTTGTTTCAAAGGCCTCCACTGTCTTAACTCCATCCAGTTTTCATTTCTAGCGCCTCCCAGGAGAACTCTGCTCCAGACTGGCTGTTGTAAGGACAGCAGCAACAGCATCAGCAGCAGCACAGTGACAGTGTCACTGCTAGGTCAGGAATGGTGCTAAGTGCATCACAGGCAATCATTGTATCATTCTCCTTTTGGATGAGAGAATTGAAGAGGCCAAGACTATGAAGCTAGTGAAGCGGCAGAACTGGGCTTTCATTCTCCCTTCGCCCTTCTATAGTCTGTCCTCAGGGACTTATAACCCGAGGGAAGAGTCCATGGATGGGCTTGAGAAGGACCCTAAATCCAATTATATATAAAATTTGTGTTATGTATCTGCATTATTTTCTGGGGTAAAAGGTCCAATTAGAATATCAGACAGTTCAAAAATCCCCTCAAATTTAAGAAACATGGTGATTATCCATTTTACTCACCCTTTCAGAATCAATATTCAACACCAAACATTTTCATGGTCATTACCCTCACGCCTTTGATCACATGTCCCCTTAATTCCTCGCACACCCCTAGGTCAGCGCTGCCTATCCTAACTTACGTGAGATCCAAGGTCAAGGTCCACATCACGCTCCTCTATCATGAAGTTTCCACTCANCACTAGTCTCTATTTTCTTTCTTCCTGATACAATCGCTATACTAACAATTTTATCTGGTGTCAACTGGTGATATTGGCAAAATGTGGATCAAGTCGAGCAATGAGAATTATATAAAGAAGAGCCAAAAGAAGCATCTGGGAATTGGGGTCTAAGGTAAAATGGGAGAAATGCTGAATACCACAATGGCTTCTTCTGATCAGAATAATCATAGGACTTTTAATAGTCTAATCTAAATCACAGTCTAGTTGTCTTTTCGTATGCAAGGGTCAAGTCCCTTATATAAAATGGCTAGGCATCCACTGATATGGAGGACCACTTGGTACCCAGAAGGAAAACAGCAGCAACCTGACAGGCCAGAAACAAAGAATCACACAACAACAACAAAAAATTTGGCAGCAAGGCTGTTCCAAGGGGGGAAACAGAGGGGTAGAGGATACTTGCTTTTACAAGGAACTTAACAGTGACTTCTAGAAACTATGTGAGGCAGAGCTATAATAGCTGTAATCCAATATAACAATTAATAAATACTACTTGGATATATTTGGAAAACACACAGTATTTTAATGTACATATTTTTAAAAGATGTGAAATTTTTACCTTATAATACTTTGATCCAGATTCGTTTTGAAACAGTGTAAGACATTTGCTGTCCAGTCTCCAATAATGCCTCTTTCTCTACAAAGAGCACAAAACTGTAAGTTTCAAAAGTAATCATTCCTCCAAAGTGTCTGAACTCTCCATTCCCTCTCATCTCTTAAGTTTGTACTGATATAAAATTCATGAGCTCCAAAATGTGAAAAATTAAAAAGATATATAGTGAAAAGTATACTTCCATCATCACTCCTATCTCACTCCCACCCTTACTCAAGGCAAACAATGTTATTATAGGTTTTGGAGGTTTCAAGAATCTCATGCATGCACACACAAATACGTATGTATGACACACGCAAATATGTAATTTACCCATGGACTAAATTTCTAAAGGATGCCTTACTGAGTCAAAAGATAAATGCATATGTAATTTTTCTTGACAGTGTTAAAGTTATTCCTCTATTTCTGGATCCAATTTATAATCTCATCAGCAACATGAGTGTGCCTATTTGCTCAAACCGTCACTAACGCAGCATATTACTAACCCTTCTGATCCTGTGCTACACTGATAAATAAAAACTAGTATTTTTGTTAACATTTTATATAATTTATTTATTTAATTGAAAGATAATTCCTTTACAGAATTTTGTTGTTTTCTGTCAAACCTCAACGTGAATCAGCCACAGGTATACATATATCCCCTCCCTTCTGGACTCCCTCCCATCTACCTTCCTATCCCACCCATCTAGGTTGATAAAGAGCCCCTGTTTGAGTTTCCTGAGACATAAAGCAAATTCCCATTGGCTATCTATTTTACATATGGTAATGTAAATTTCCATGTTACTCTCTCCATACATCTCACCCTCTCCTCCCCTCTCCCCATGTCCATAAGTCTGTTTCCATGTTTGTTTCTCCACTACTTCCCTGCAAATAAATTCTTCAGTACCATTTTTCTAGATTCTGTACATGTGTTCAGTTCAGTTGCTTAGTCGTGTCTGACTTTGTGATCCCATAGACTGAAGCACACCAGGCCTCCCTGTCCACCACCAACTCCCAGAACCCACTCAAACTCATGTCCATTGCATCGGTGATGCCATCCAACCATCTCATCTTCTGTTGTCCCCTTCTCCTGCCTTCAATCTTTCCCAGCATCAGGGTCTTTTCCAATGAACTGGTTCTTTGCATCAGGTGGCCAAAGTACTGGAGTTTCAGCTTCAGCATCAGTCCCTCCAATGAATATTCAGGACTGATTTCCTTTAGGATGGACTGGTTGGATCTCCCTGCAGTCCAAGGGACTCTCAAGAGTCTTCTCCAAAACCACAGTTCAAAACCATCAATTCTTTGGTGCTCAGCTTTCTTTATAGTCCAACTCTCACATCCATACATGACCACTGGAAAAACCATAGCCTTGACTAGACGGACCTTTGTTGGCAAAGTAATGTCTCTGCTTTTTAATATGCTGTCTAGGTTGGTCATAACTTTCCTTCCAAGG